TCCCAAGAAGGCTTTTTCTCTTGAGTGGAGGGGATTGTTAAGTCCTCTCCTTGTATTCATCTCTAAGGAAGTGTTTTCTGCAAAGTGTTCTTTTGAAGAGTTCTAGGCCAGTGGGTTTGGTAGTTAAAGGGGGGTTGGCCTGATTTCTCTCAGAATTAGAGAATACTTTGTTCTCTGTCTTTTGAGAGTTGGTTTTCATCCCATTGGCCTGTCTTCTACAGTGTGCCAGGGCAGTTCTGAAGCGGGTAACTGCTTTTAGTATCCTAGAGTGTGATCCTTGGCTATGGTGGTGAGGCAGTGGCTTCCGTTTTCTGCAGTCACAAGTTGTACGGCCCTTTGCAGACAATGCAGTTGCAGGCACGACACTCTGGCTCAGCAGTCAGGCTCTATATCAGCTTCAGTGCTTGCTTTGGAGTCCAACAAAAAAGTCTGATATATTTCAATCTCCTTAGGGCTGATTCCTATCCCTACCCAGTTGTGAGTCTTCAGCTTTGTTTAGAAACCTGTGAATCATTAACTGAAACTCTAGAGCATAGTTGTGAAAATAATTGTGATTCAATAATGATGTAATAACCCTCCTTAACAGTAACATTAAAAATGACCCACCTAAAAAAAATGAAAATAATAATCTGTCAACCAACGCCACCTGTCAGCATAAACTCCCTGGCACTATCTGGCCTGTCTTGAATGAGAATCATAATGCATGAGGTTGCCTTTCGGGTTTCTTGTTCCTGGCAGGGGTTACTACTTGGTAAGACTGTCCCCTGAGGGAGAAGAGAGTGTTTGCTGGCTGCCTGCTGCTCTGTAGTTGGCGTCTGGATGATACCACTCTGGGGAAATATATACAGTGTCAGAGTCAAGCTGCTACCAGTGGGTGTTTCTATACACAACTACCAAGCAACAGGAAAGTTCAAGGGGGAAAAGCTGAGTATTGTAAAGATTGCCTTTGAGAGTACATGATATCCAATATGACCCATGCTGCAGCAGGCTATGCACTCCAAAAGGATGTGCCACATGCATACTGCAAGTGAATGTTTTAAATCTTATTGGAAACTCCCTATAAATGTTGCCACTTGAGGGATCTATTCTGGGAGAAAAATATAGCATGTCCTCCTGCGATGCTGCGTGGATTCCATTACCAATGTTGCGTATGGGATCGAGTGTGGCAATGCTTTTATCACAACTATAAAGTAGTTATGAGCCAATTCTTCATATAAAACATACTCAGTAACATTGAGGGCTTTCCCCCCTTTCTGTTTCTTTCTTTTATTTCCTTCTTTTTCTTTTCTTCCCCCCCCTCGCCCTTTTTTTAATGACAAACATCATGTCAGACAAAGGGCATCAGAACTTAGTCTTTGTACTACCATACGAAATAACAATACATAAACACCTTTGTGAAGGCAGCTCGAAACCCCACGTTTTCTATTAAAAAGTCATGTTCAATCTTCACTGTTGATAGAATTGAATAGCTAACACAGAGAACATTGTATATCAGAAAGGTCAATAGTTATTATGAGCTACAAATATATTTTTTTCTACCCTTCAGGCTGTTTAGCGCGTATCACAGCATGAGCAGCTGTCCCCTTTAATGCTTTTAGAATTAGAATCCCAAAGAGGAAGAAAAAATTATGGTTGCAATGATTGCTCTTTGCTTTTGTAAGTTTACTTTAATATACTATTTTATATACATGAATCTTCTGTGCAGCCTATCCATAGGGCAGTAGCTAGTTTCCAGTATTCAGTTGAGCTGCCATGTTTATTTTCTTAACATTCTGGCCAAATCTCCATCTCAGGCCCAGATGTTGCTCACATACTGTATTTTAAGACGGAGTTATATAGAGGAGTCTGGTTACAGAGGCACTTGCAAACACATACACGTGTATTCTGCCTTTCCCTTGATTTAAAGCTCTATTACTTACTACAATACCATGTGATGAGGAACTGCTATGCCACACAGGGTCAAAAATCAGGCAGCGATTCAAACCATTGATACCTAAGTATCACTCTCCACGTGCGGGCATGTGGATTGAGAGTATATCTTTTAATAATTTAAAGGTTGATCTTCTGGCTATCCCTGGAACTTCTTGCCCTTACTCAGCACATGACCCTAGAAGACAATTAAACCCATGTAATTAAACCCATGTGAGCACACATCAACTGTTTAGCTATAGCTCACTTTTTCTTTGTTCAGTTATTTGAATTAAATACTTATTGAGTAACTATAGTGGTCTGGGACCATTCATGACAGTGCTAACCTTTTAGGGGAGGAGCAAAAATAAATAAAATAGTTTCAGGAGGTGATTAATGCTAACAGAGAGTAAGAGACTAGAGAGTGACAGGAGCCACATTTTGGTTGCATAGTCACAAGGGCCTCTCTAACACGGTGGCATCTCAGAGGAAACCAAGTCATGGATATCTGGGTAAAGGAATCACGCCCATCTTCGTGTTCATGATTCTTATTGTGAATTTATGGCCCCAGAATGGTAAAAGGCTTTACAGAAAGCTATTATTTCAATAGCTATGCAGTAGTGACTATGAAATCCTAGAAAAGTTACCTTTTGAATTTTTGTCCAAGATTAAAATAAATTATTTGCCTTCAATACATGACTTGACATGCAGGCCACCAAGGAAAGAAAGAATGGGCATGATTGATCGTGTGTCCAGTGCTCTCAGATTTACCCACTGGTATTCTCAAGTCTTCAGGGATCTCCAGAGGGAGCAGCTTCATTCAAAAAGTGGGATAAGGATACAGTGAATAAATGATACACTTTGAAGAATTTTTGGGGTGAAAATAGAGACTTGAGTATGTTTACTGATGGAGATGCCAGAGCTTAGAGTTGTCTACATTGGAAATGCTAACTGAAGAATTTAAACCCTAAGAGATGTTGAATCAGTAACAGAGAAAGAGAGGGGAGCCTTTGAAATGGGGAAATAAAAAAAAAAAGAATAAGAGAAAATGGGAGGTGGAGGGAGAGAGACAGGAGTGTGATAGAAATGGCTCTAAACAACTTAACTTCAATAAAGTAAATAAATTTCAATAAAGTTGTGTGCTGAGATAAAGGAAGTGGAAGACAGAAGGGGTTTTGAGAGCAAAGAAAGCTATGAAGCAGTCTGTGTAGGGAAACCACCTGGGATCGAGAGAAGACAAGCACTAAGATTACTTAGTAGCTAGAAGGTGCCTGGCTTACATTTCTAAGGATGGGAGCCAGGACAATGGGACTAAAAGGCAACAGAGTGAGGGATTCTGAAGACGGGGAAATGAAGGCAGTGCAGGGATGTGGTGACATGAGAGAGGGAGGCCAGGGGGGCTTTGTTCAGGGAGCGAATTCTGGGAATATTATTTGCTGCTTTAAAGAAGTTTATATAAATCCATTTGTTCATGGAAAATTTTGAAAACATGAAGTATAAATAAGAAAATTTTTAAAATCCCCGTAATGTTATCACTCAGCTATAGCCACTAGTAACCCCAATATGTTTTCTTGCAGTCTTATTTACCATTTATTGATATATTTATTTCAAAATTGGGATAAAACCTGTGTCTGCCTCATCTTTTAATGTTAAAAAGTCATAGCTTACTATGTGATAATAACCATACTTTTATTAGACGCTGTTAGGGGAATAAGTGGATGTTGGGGTTCTAAGGGCCTTGGCTGCAAACCAGTTTTTTTAAACAAATTTTTAAAGAACATTACAGTATCTGTATTTTTCCATATTATTATATCACTTTTAAACACACTATTTTTAGTGGCTATGCAGTATTTCATTGCATGGTAATGAATTTCTTTGAAATTAATCTTCTTTCAACTTATTATTTCTTAGGGTGAATTTCTAGAATGAGTATGACTGGGTCTGAGCTTTTAAAAAAGCTCTTAATACATGTAGACAAACTGATTTCCAGAAAAGTTGCCCTGTGCCAGTTTGCATGTCTATTAGTAATATTTGATGGTGCTCATACTGATTGCTATCCTAAAAGATTAGTTTTTTTTTTTGATAGAAAACATTAAATTACCAGAAGATAACAGAGAAAATATTTACCGGGGTCTCTGCGATAGGAAATATGTAAAAATATCTCACATGTGGCTGGGCGTGGTGGCTCACGCTTTAGGAGGCTGAGGCGGGTGGATCACAAGGTCAGGTGTTCGAGACCAGCCTGACCAACACGGTGAAACCCCATCTCTACTAAAAATACAAAAATTAGCTGTGCATGGTGGCGCATGCCTGTAGTCCCAGCTGCTCGGGAGGCCGGGAAGGAGAATTGCTTAAGCCCGGGAGGCGGAGGTTGCAGTGAGCCGAGATCATGCCACTGCACTGCAGTGTAGGTGACAGTGCGAGACTCCATCTCAAAAAAAAAAAAACAAAACAACAACAACGAAAAAAACTCACATGTGTTTAATATGCATTTTTTTTTTTTGTTTTTGAGATCGTGGTCTCTGTCACCCAGTCTAGAGTGCAGTGGTGCAATAACAGCTAGCTGTAGACTCAACCTCCCAGGCTCAGGCGATCCTCTGCTTCAGCCTCCAAAGTAGCTGGGACTACAGGTGTGTGCCACCACGCCTGACTACTATCTGTGTTTTTTGAAGAGATGAGGTTTCACCATGTTGTCCAGGCTGCTCTTGAACTCCTAGGCTCAAGCGATCCACCTGCTTTGGTCTCCCAAAATGCCAGGATTACAGACGCGAGCTGCCCCACTTGCCAATTGGCATTTTATTTCTATTGAGGATGGATTATGTTTTAATACATATTTATTGGCCAGTTGAGTTTTTTAAATGACTCACATATTTATGTTCTCTATTTTCTAATTGGGTTTTTAGTGTTTTCCTGATTTATTTGAATGAGCTACATATATTATTAAGGATGTTAACTCTGACATATTTCTTGCAAATACATCCTATATTTTGCATTTTACTTTTGTTTATGATATGCATACATGTTTAAAAATTTTATATTGAGTAGCCCATACATCTTTTCCTTTGTAACTTTTGCTCAAATTTTTTAAATAGGTATCTGAGATTTTGAAAATGAAGTGTGGTTCAAGTCCAAGGTTTGATCGTGCCAAGGGTGCTAAAGGTAAGGTAAGTAATGGATTTTTTTTTCTTTAAGTTTTTGCAGTCAAGGAACTGTGTGTTGAATGGTTACCCATCATGGAAACTCTCTGATATCCGTTTGCCTGCTAGAGCTGAGGGGTACATAGGAAGGTTGCCGAGCATGAGCTGACGCCTTTGAGGAACGTCAGGGAGTGATGTGAGTGTTGACAGACAATGGCATTAAGAAGAGAGAAAGAATGCGTCTTTTTTTTTTAAGAGGAAGTATTGTGGAAGTGACATCAGGAGCAGTGCATGATGATCACTTGTTTTTCACACAGGGATATTCAGGGGCCTAGGCCTCTGAACTGGAACGTTGCACTGGAGAGGGTTAGAGAGTAGAGGCTTCAAAGAGAAAAAGGTCTCAATGAGGGTGAAGAGGCAGATGTGAGGCTTGTGGAAAAGTCAGTGGCTACGGAGAGTTTACTCCTACTTAGCCTCGCTGAATAAAATACAGGATACCCCATGACATTTGAATTTCAGGTAAACAAATGATTTTTTAAGTGTGATCCAAATATTGCATATAAATTCCAAATTTAATGGGGAATCCTATATTTGGTAAATCTTACAGCCCTTTTACAGAAGAATAAAGATTGAATGTGGCACGGAGGAAGGGTTTTGCATGACTGCAGTCATAGGTTTAACAGGGATGACAAATGGAGGAGTTTAGAAGATTGGCCTGAGATACGTTTCTTTAATGGAGTGAATGCTGAATGACTGGCGCTTTCTCACTGGAAGACGTTAGAGAACTAAGCAATTGTTGAGAATTCAAGTGAAATCTGGTGTGATGATGTGGTTTTTCAAACTTGCCATCTGAGGTATTGGGTCTGACACAGTGAATGGGCAGTTTTCATTTTCCCGTGTAAGTGTGTGTGTTCTGGAGATGGAAGGGGTCTTGGACTGGCAGGTCTCCACAAATATGTCCTGAATCAGTATCTTCTGTTAATTAATTAATTTTTTCATATAGGAGGAATTTGGGTAGCTAGGATTTGTTGGTTTTATTGTGGCTCAATTCCAGCACATCTTGAAATGGTTATTTTTCAAATGTTTTTAGTTAGAAGTACCATATTAAATCCATCATCGATAAAGAATAGAGGGTTATTTATTGGAGAATATTCTTAGTAACATTATTTATAATTTGTAATAATTTAGAGAAGCCAGAAATGAGAGATAACCCAATAATTATCTATATCTGTTATTTTGCTAATGAATATCTATTTTTGACATCTTTAATTAAGCTAATTTTCCTCTCTCTCATGATCCTAACAAGTTTCAATGACCACTGCTCCATCTTAATACCTAAACAAAGTCAGCTAATCTTTTGCAAGAAGTAGCCCTGCTTTAAAACAGGGCTTCATCATTATAATCTTGGTCAGCTAATATATGTGTAGGCATCATTTCCATATCTGAACTCGGCATTGGGTCATTTGTATATTTTCTTCAAGGCTATGCATAATCTTCCCAAGTGGAGGGGACAAAAAAGCAGTCATTAAAAAAATCCATTTACATAGCTTGCAGTTATTCTTGCTCTAGAATTACCCCCCTTTCCTTCAGTTAAAAAAGATAAAGGCTATTGCTGATGGTGATAGGGAAAATGGGGTTGAAGCAGCCTTTTGTTAAACTAGGCGCAAAGCAAATTTGTTGATATTAATTATTGCTCTTTTCCCTGCTTCATGAAACAAAGTGATCTCTTCAAATATAGCTATCTAATGACATACTTGATGTTTTTTACCATCAACGCTTCAGTGTTATGTTAGACGGCTTCTGGGTCTAAATTGTATATTCTATAACGCCAAATAAGTATTTTTAAAACTGGCACGACACATTCCTTGTTGCCTGGGAGCTGAATGCTCCCACTGCATTTGTCATAATTGTTTTGTGGTTAATCCTCTCAACAGCAGGGACTCCAGGTATTTATGGCTGCCCTTGCTCTGGGTCTTCAATTATATGACCTGACGTGAGGATGAATCCATCAGTAACAGTAGGCTGTCCTTTGCCCATTTCTCCATTTTATTATTTCATTTATCCCTAACAAACTCCATTTGCATGTCATTAGTAAAGTTCTCAGTATTTTTCAATAGCTTGAGTGGCTGCATTTTGGAAATGACATGAAGGTTCAGATCATATACGTGTGCTTATCCTCATGTTTTACTCAAAGCTATGACCTGCATTCTTTAGTTTCCTTCTCAGTAATTTCCGTTATAAGTAAAATGAAACAAACCTAAATAAATTTTCTTGAAATAGTCAATGATTTACACATAAAACACTTGAGATAGAGCATACTTTTCTTCCCTTTATTTTCAATTCATTGTGCAAATAATACACAGGTATTACAATTCCTACTAATGTTAATTGTCTACATGGGAGACAATATTGCTTTTACTCTCTTCTGGTGTGTGTTTTATGTGATTTTTGGGGGTGTTAAAATGATGCATGCTAAAATCACAATTCATACTCTTTAAATTATGAATATCTAATATAATTGACCAACTAGCCCATATCTGAAGCTGAAAGTAAAATATGTAAATCCCACCTGGGAAGGTCTTTATTCTGAAAGCTATGTCTTGCCCTTCAAAGGTTTTTTTCATTGTTGATGCCAACAACCAATATCTACAATCCTTTCTCTAATAGTAGAATGCCTCTCCCCAACCAGGTAAAATAACAGTGTGTATATAAGTAATTTCGGGGAAGACAGAGGTGGTCTTAAAGGTGAAAGAAGGGAAAAGACAAAATTATCTTTCCACCAAAAGCATTCACTTATTTTAAAAAAGAATATTCTCTCCTATATGATTTAAAATCTAACATTTTAGGAGGCACATGTAAGTTCAAAAATATAACAATAACAATAGAAATTCTTGCTGTTTTGACAACAATTTTCCACTTTCTTTTTGGCTTGTTGGGGAAGAAAGAAGGCATTTAGATACATGCAGAACATGTAATCTCAGGATTTTCCATATTTATATATTTTTTTCCTTGCATTGTATTTTCACTACCCAAGAGCCCAGGCTGTTATTTTTTTTTTCCTGAAGTCTGAAGATCACCCCATGGATTAACAAATGATTGAGGATTCTCTCTTAAAAGACTCTTTAAAAAACTGTCAGAATCAGCCTGAGACAAAGATTTATTATGAACTATTTAAAGGGCTTAATATATGTATCCCCAATGAGCCCTTGGAGCAAACTAAAAAGGAAGAGTGGAATTCTCAAAGAATAGGAAAAATTCTCCAATGCCCCACTTTCTTCACACCATGATTACTGTTTACTCAAAGGATAAAATGCCTAACCTGTCACACAAAGTCTTCAGAAGCCATAGTCCTGCTGATGTACAGTAAAAGCAATACAATGAAGACCGACAGTAATGTGCTTGAGAAAGGCAGCTGTAATTTACTTTCTAACCTGTTCACTAACACACTAATGTGGCTACATCTTGTAGCAGGAGCTGATCCCTGACCCACGTAGCAATCAAACAACTACCCGAGTGTTGGCTGTCACAGAAGCTGGGACCGTCACCTTAATTACACGTTCCTGGATAACAAACCTTCCCTTAATGAGCAACTTTTCTTTTATGTGTGTTCCAACTCACCCCTTCTGTCCTTGAAAAGGCCCACTGCAGATGACTGTACTTGGAATCTGTGAAGCATATTCAAAAGTATTCTTCCTAACAGGTAATAAATACTACCTGAGCAGGGTGTTTGCTTTATGAGAATGCCAAGATATAATTAAAATCATAGCCTTGTACTCCTGAGATGCTCTAGAGAAGAATCACTCAGCACAAAAGGAAAGTTTTTGATGAACTTACAACTAAGCTTTTTTCTCTTTTGTTACTAATAATATTATTATTTAATGACTATCTTCTTTGGGACTCATATTTGGCAATGAGATTTATTCCTCTTAATATAATTTCTGCACTAGCTTTTCTTCTTTTTAGACATGAAATCTCTTTATTTTCTTATTATAAAACCCCTCAATTCTGTATTATCTGCTAATGTTGCCACAACATTTAACACAGGCAACCATGAGGGTCTTACATGGAGGTTTTACGTATACCTTGAGGAGAAAGAGTGCCTTTCACGTAAAGAAGACCATTAGCATTGAGGACAAAGAGCAAGGCGATCTTTACCGCAAGAGGGTTCACTTCACTAGTAACTAGCTCAGTGTGAGTTTGGGATAAGGCCATCAGACAGGCAAATGGTGCAGACTGGTGACTCGTTGAAGAGAAGGAAAGTCGGACTTGGGACCAGGTTGTTGGTTCAACTTCCATTTTATTTTAATCTCCTTAAGACTCTGCTGCTTTTCTCTTTAAATGTGTGGATATATCTTCTCTGTTAGACAGTTTTGGCACTGTTTGGTAAAGCACATATAGCATATGTATTTAGAAAATATATGTATTTAGAAAGTTCTAATGTATTTCCTTTGAGTAGCCATTTGCTGTGGAATATATGAACTAACCCATGTAAATCACTTAGTTTGGCACTTGATAAACACCTAGTAAATGTTAGCTTTTATGGCTGTAGTTGGTGTTGCTAATATCTCCACAGGCTATTTCTGACATCTGTTTTTAGGCTTACTGGGTGGATCAAGGAACAGGAAAGGATAGTAATGCTCAATGGTCTGCTGGGTCCCAGAGCAGCAAATCCCATCCTGGAATAACAACAGGGGTACCACTGGGCAGGATGATGACCACAGATACGGACAGCAGCAGTGTGCATGGGAATTGGACATACACCATGGAATTAGGAAGTCTGGGTTGTCAGCCAGGCTTAGCAACTGGGGAAAGCTCTACAGTCAGTCACCCAGGTTGTAGTGTGGTGGTGTGAATACAGCTCACTGCAGCCTTGACCTCCTGGGATCAAGCAATCCTCCCACCTCAGCCTCCCATGTAGCTTGGACTACAGATGTGTACCACCACACCTGGCTAACTTTTTGTAGAGGTGGGATCTTGCCATATCGCCTGGGCTGGTCTTGAACTCCTGGGCTCAGGTGATCCTCCTGCCTTGGCCTCCCAAAATGCCAGCATTATAGGCGTAAGCCACTGCACCTGGCAGCTGCTTTAAAGTCTTATGTCAGCTATGCATCTCAACAACCATCCCTTTTTCCTTATGAAAGGCATAATATTATGTGACTTGCCTAACTTTGGGAGGTTGTTGGGACAATCAAATAAATCCACGCAAAGGTAAAGTTTGATAAGTGTTAAGTTAAATTTGACCAGCAAACATTTGCTGA